ATCATACGACACTTCCCGTACTTCAAGCACGCGCCGCAGGGCTGGAAGAACAGCGTGCGGCACAACCTCTCCCTCAACAAATGCTTCCATAAGGTTAGTTTTTACACAAAAACACGCCTCGAATAGACGCTATTTCTACTTATATTCGATAACTGCGCGTCCGACGCATAATAAATATATTAATATTATAAATGCAAAAGTTTAGATGCATTAATGTTTGTAGCTCCTAAACAGCTGAACGGATTTCGGTGAAATTTTATATAGATTTAGATAGTCTGGAACAACACATACTCTTGTTTTTTCAAATGCCACGCGGGTGAAGTCGCGGGCGAAAGCTAGTATTATATAAAAATTGACGTTCACGCCGACGAGTGAGTAACGTTTAGTTCTAAGTATTTACTAACAAAATCATTTTAAGAGTATATGGTTGTTTACAAATAAATAAATGTGGTATTTAAAAAAAAATGTAAACAGTTTTCCTTCGATCTATTATTGTGGTTAGAAGGAATTAAATTAGTAGAATTTGTATTTTATATACAATATACTTTTCTTACGAGGAAAGGATATTTGAGGTAAACGCATAGAAGTGCTATCTTCTTTCTGGGCCTCGTTCTTCGATATAAATAAAGTACAGACTTTATTAGAACAGTCTTATAATACTGTTGAGAATTAAACGATTTATTCCATGTTAGTTATCTTTTTATTCATCTCTCTGACTATAACAAAACATTACCATGGTAACCGCTTACATTTTTATATCCAAAGAGTATCAAAATTATAAAACATGTCACAAATTAAATAGCTAATTATCAAAGAATATTTACACGTAACAATAGGTATTAAACACCTTAGTTAACTATAAATAAAAAGTAATAATTGATGGATACAGTTTAGTTTACTTTAATACACTATGTTCAATTGCAGGTGGCGGCCGCGCCGGGGCTGGGCAAAGGGTCACTATGGACAGTGGATCCGCAGCACCGCTCTACTTTACTACAGGTAACATAATATTATTAACTTTAAAGTGTGTTTTACTATTTTTGTTATTATACAAGTTGTAAATATTTTGAAATGTCAGCAAATAAAAGCTTTATCTGTCTATCTATACTATTATGATAAAGCGTAATCACACACTTCTTTGTTGCCTAAGATGCCAGCAATTACAACATATTTTTGAATGTTTCTTTTTTTAATAAAAAGCCCTACACTTGCGTCACGCTTTAGGCTATATATTTTAACGCCATTAAACTTAGGGGGTAAATATTTTGAATAAAAACCCTAATGTGGGAAAGAGACCATAAGTTGCTGCCAACATCAAGGAAGCAAGGTTGTCATCAAGTCATGTCATTTTGACATTTGTAATCGATAATTTCAGAAATGTAAACAATGAAATAAAGTTATTATAAATTCATGCTGGTGAAGCCGCACGGGAACAGCTAGTCTATTATTATTTACTATTTAAGAATTTTTACTATAGTTCCAGAAGATGTTGAGTTATTTCAATACATACAATAATCCAAAAATACGAATCTTACCTCTATAAGATATAACGTATAGATTTTTTATGTAATATAATTTGGCAAACGAGCAAGCGGCCAACTGAATTCACCGAAATGAAAAGTGACCG